AAAAAAAAAAAACAAAAGAAAAAGGCTGTGTAGAAATATGTTGATCATTTTATATCATTTTCTTTTTAGTCTTCTGCTAACTCTTGGAAGAAACGAGGGTAAAATGACTTTTCCCATTTAGATTGAGATAGCTGGGTTTTTTTTTTTTTTTTTTCCCTTGAGACAGAGCCTCAAGCTGTCACCCTGGGTAGAGTGCTGCGGCATCACAGCTCACAGCAACCTCCAACTCCTAGGCTCAAGCGATTCTCCTGCCTCGGCCTTCTAAGTAGCTGGGACTACAGGTGCCCACCACAATGCCTGGCTATTTTTTGGTGGCAGCTGTCAGTTTCTGGCGGTCCAGGGCTGGATTTGAACCCACCAGCTCAGGTATATGTGGCTGGTGCCTTAGCTGCTTGAGACACAGGTGCCAAGCCTGATAGCTGAGGTGTTTTTTTTTTTTGTTTTTGTTTTTGTTTTTTTGTAGAAACAGAGTCTCACTTTGTCACCTTCTGTAGAGTGTGCTGTGGTATCACACAGCTCATAGCAACCTCCAACTCCTGGGCTTAGGCAATTCTCTTGCCTCAGCCTCCCGAGTAGCTGGGACTACAGACACCTGCCATAACGCCTGGCTATTTTTTTTGTTGTTGCAATTTGGCTGGGGCTGGGTTTGAACCCGCCACCCTGGGTATATGGGGCCAGCGCCCTACAGACTGGGCCACAGGCGCCACCCAGTAGCTGAGGTTTTAATTCTCAAACTTGGTTGTACCTTGAGCTTATTGCCAGAACTATTGATACTCATACTGAGTAGTTTCTGGAATGGAGTGTGAGAATCTATTTTCTAAAAACTGCTCCAGGGAATCTTATTATAAAGGCTCCAGTGCCTGGTAGGATCAAATTCTTTTTGGAAGCTTAACATGATGGGTGATGGTGATAGTCCTCTAGAGAAGCAAAGTGGGTGGCAGGTGAAAGTTTAGGGAACAAACCAGGATTAATTGAAAGTTATAAAACTTTAATGTTCACACATTTCACATACTGGTATAGTACAAGGTATGTAAAGAAGTTAAGAGTATGTAGGATGGCTCGGCGCCTGTGGCTCAAGCGGCTAAGGCGCCAGCCACATACACCTAAGGTGGCGGGTTCGAATCC